ATTGGGGGAACTACCAAAGCGCCAGCACCCTGAAAATGACTCTTGACGAGCTAAAAGGCGTAATATTACGACTAATTAAGGAACTAATTGGCCATTTAGTCTTTTCAAAATCGAAGGAAAAAAGCCACAAGGGTCTACTCCACCATACTCATCTAATGCTGGTAAGAAATACTTGATTTCAAAGGACCTGAAAGCAAATGAATTAAAGCATGGCAATGGGTGACATGAAAACTCTCAAACGGACTATATGTAACACTACCATCAGGTTTCATTAAATGAGGAATGGAGGACTCAAGACCAAAAACAGATGCTGTAAGCGTTGACCACAATTTATGAGGCTGTGAAGTTCCTGAGAGACCTTCTTTCAAATGAGCAATATTTTCAGATTTATACACACACGCGCATGTATTTATACTGTGTATATGTGCATGCATTTATATGCACACACACACACATTTATATATATACTATGTATATGTGCATGATTTTATATGCACACATACACACTCATTTATTTATGTGTGTGTTTATAAACATATTTTATTTTATATCATTTAATATATCTCAGCCTTCAGTCCAGGTCGTTGATCTCACATTGTCACTAAGACTGAAATGATTCATCTTCCTTACTGTTGCGCGCGCTCCCTCTAACGTCCACAAACTTACTGTGAAAGAGGTGTTCTTTGCTGTACCCGCTTCCTTGGCAGACATCCACTTGTTACGGTGACTTCAGTGCAGTATCCGGCTGTGATCGAGTAGGCCGCTGGATGCCAGTCCCTTAGGGAGCTGAATCCAGAAGTTAAAACAGGGTACTTCCTCTGGGCGCTACGAAGTCCCAGCGATCGAGGATGTCCACTGTGCGGCGCAGCGGTTAACGCGTTGGACTTGCAATCATACTGACCTGCTTTCAATCCCACGCGTAGCCAGTGGATGGTAACCCCGACCATTCCTTGCACACAGGATGCCACAGCAAAGAATATCCATCATAACAAATCGAATTAAAACTAAATCATTAATCTTAAATCTATAATCCGCTACTGCTAGTCCTCCAGGTCAAGCGGCCACGAAGATCGACCATGTTCTAAGCCTCCCGGGGCTTTATCGGAGAGCAAAGGATTGTAGGGTAGTTCGTGGCTACCCACTTCCTTCGTTTCAGACCCCCCCCCCCCATCCGTCCGTCCAGTGACCGCCCAGGGGGTTTCACTTGGCCAGTTTCAGGAAAAAAGGAGTGTGCCTGTGACTTTGCTGTGGCTGTCTCTAATTACACAACACTCGAGAACCGCCAAGAGCAAGTATTAACACTCGATAAACTTTATTGGATAAAAGAGAGGAAGTACAGTCGATAAACTTTATTGATTAGACTAAGAGGAAGTACTGACAGTCGACAAACTTTATTGATTAGACTAAGAGGAAGTATTGACAGTCGATAAACTTTATCTGATAGACAATGGTGAAAAGAACTAATACTTGGCAAACCTACCAAACACATCTGCAAATGTGATTACCATGAACTCAGCGCGAAGACTTACGAGCTTCACTACGCCCAAGACACCCCTCTCCAGTTCCTCTTGCTTTGGTGTCTCCACTTTTTTTTTCCTTTTTTTAACGTCCTGTCCCATGCCACCTCATATCTTGATTCGCACTTTTCCAATATCTCCCGATAGTCTCATTCGCCTGAGCAGAACCATTTCCATTTATGTACCACGGGAGTTATTCTCACACCAGTCTCACTTGTTTGATGAAATTTGATGAATGAACACGAATTTCGATCAATTTCCACAACCATGTCACTTACTTGTTCGAAACAAATATATCAAAGTGAGAACGTGAGATCTTAGCGTCTAGTACTCTACGTGGTGCCAAAAAAAATTATTTCATCCCCTTCAGAATCCCATCTTTCATGGACCAGTGGGTGGCTCACACTTGCAAACCTTGACTATCTTGCGATGAACAACTATTAAAGCCCCCCCCCCAAAAAAAAAACAACAACAAAAAAACAAAAACAAATCAAGACCATAATTTTCCCAACATTCTCAACCACCTAATCAATACAAACGCACCAAAATCACGATAATAATAATAATAATAACAACAATAAACTGCAACATCCCCCGGCGTTCCCCGCAACCAAATCCGAACGACGCTTTCCAGATGGTGTTCCTCACAGATGGCCAAGCAACCGTAGGCATCACGAGATCGCAGTCTATAAGGGCGAACGTGAGGAACGAGAACGTGCGGCGCCACCCGATCTACGGCCTGTCCTTCGGCGTCGGCGCTGACCTCAAGTGAGTGACGTCGAGGGGTCTCTCAAAGGGGATAGTCATGAGGATAATAACAATGATGATGATAATGATAATGATGATGATGCTTTTATTACCACTACCACTACTACTACTATTAATAGTAATGTAACATGAAAACCGTAATGGTAGTACATGTTGCGAAGGAGGGGCGAGGAGGGAGGGTAAAGTGCATGGGAGGAGGGAGGGTAAAGTGCATG